AGACATCGCCGACACGATTCCAGGAACGAGCGAAAAGTGAAAGAGTGAAGCTGTGTGTGTGTGTGTGTGTGTGTGTGGGGGTCGTGTGGGTCGTGTGTGTTGTCGTCTTTTCTCCATGAACACACACTCATTCACTCCAACGCTCCAGAAACAAACTGGAAAAAGGAAGTGAAGCCGCTCGACTTGAAATCGTCTTTTTGAAAACAGATGAAAGGAAAACTCTCGTTTCTCGTTTTAAGTGCTCATCACTGAAAATGTTTCCTCTCTTACCTCCGACTGTTTGATCCACACACACATTCAGGTACGTGTGTTTTTCTCTGAACTCGTCACGCCCACTTCTGCCAAGAAAGTAAAAAAAAAAGATTCATGAAAAGTCAGTCATGATCAAAAAAGGGCAAATTATTTTATTTCTAACTTTTAATTTAAAATCATGTCATCATCATGACTATACATTTTAAATGAATCATTGAAAGAAGCAAAGTTTTTTTTTTTTTTTTTAAATGAAAGGTATGATGTAATCATGACATCATTATTCTCAGAGTCAAAGTCATGATTGAAGACTTTGATTACAATGAATCCAGTCTTGATTCTTTTTCTTGCGTCAGGTGGATTCAGAAGAACAAATGAATTATTAAAGAGAATAACAAACACGGGACATAACGCCGTTACTTCACAGCGAGGAGGTTCCTGGTTCGAATCCCTGTCGGTCAGACCTCCATAGACATTCCAGTTAGGTTAACTGGAGACTCTCAATGACCCGTAGGTGTGAATGTGAGTGTGGCTGATCTGCCCTGTGATTGGCTGGTGGAACAGTTCAGGGTGTAACCCGGCTGATGACAGCGGGGGATCGCGCCCCCCCCCCCCCGCGACCTCGAACTGGAAAAGCGGTATAGATAATAATGGATGGATGAACATACACGGGTTATAGTAGAACTAAATTCTGATTGGGATTTAATTTAAAAGATAAAATGTAAAATTATGGAGATATAATCAGAATTTGGGGGATTAACTTTTTGGAACAAAATTCTAACTCTGAATGTTTTTGTTTTTTTTATGATTATTTTCAGATTTTGTTCCAGCCTTTGGAGTTTATTGAAGGGGATTCAAAAAATGTGGTGATTGGTGCTCCAATATTTTGGGAACAAATGAAATAATTTAAAATGTTTTTTTGAGATAACTTAAATTGTTTAAGATATTTTGTTATTCCGTTTGATATTTTCTTTTCTCTCGTTTCTTTGACTCGCTCTTTCTCCTCATTTTTTGGTAGAAATGGGCTCGAACACTCATGCTCCATATAATCTCATAAAACACAAACGTGACGTCTGCAGTTCGACATTTTCATCTTTATTTATAAATGTACCAGAACTCCATCAGAGTCCTTGAGGTGCTCGTGAAGGTCTGGAGAGAAGGATTAATAAGAACATGGAGATTTGTGCTGTTGACAAACTGGACCATCGCGGAGAGGACCACTGCACTGCATGCTGTCAGAATATCATCGTCAATCAGAGAGAAGTGTGTGTGTGTGTGTGTGTGTGTTGGATAAATGATAAATGTTGTCATCCGTTCCTTCTAATGAGAGTAATCAGCTGCACTCTGATATGTGAGCTCGCTCCCGGAAATATCTCCACCTCATCTCATCTCATCAACCACCTGAACATCACCCGCTGATTCCTGCTGTGTGTGTGTGTCTGTGTGTCTGTGTGTGTGTGTGTGTCTGTGTGAGAGAGCGCTTGATATCAAGAGAGCGGTAAACTTAGAGGTGTTTGATTCCACTTTTTTTTTTTTTTAATGTGTTATCGTGCAGGGATTCTTTTCTGTTCATTGTTTTTACCTAAACATTTGTTTTCTTGCTTGTACATAAAGACGAGAAAGATCCCAAGTTTTATCTTTTTTTAATTACATTAATATAAAAAGAAAGCATAAAAAACTTTGCTTGAAAAAATACTGGAAGAAATAAAGACATTTTGAAAGAAAATGTACAACTCTGGTGAAACTCTTTTGTATGACCACATAATCACACATTTTATATTTTAAGTCCATGATATTAATGATAAAGCCTACATATTTATAACATTACATAAGTGCATGATTCTTACATTTGATAACTTTTGGCTTGAGACCGGATATTAAAAAAAGAAAGGCTGAAAGATTTTAACTGGAACAATATGATTTTTTTAGAAAATGAAAGAAGTCTATTTTTTAGTCTTATTTTTAATGCTTACTTTTATTTATTCTGTTTGTTTTTTTTTTTCATTTCGTTTACACAAAAAAAATAAAAAAAATAATTATTCCGGAATGACGATGTTCAGATTTCTTCTGCGTGCTGACGTCACTTCCACTTGTACGTACAATCCGGAAGTCGGTTGCCTTGTGATATTTGAGGAAATCCATTCTGGCCGAAGTTCACTTGCAAAAAGTGGAATAAACACAAAATATAATCACTTGTCGGGGGGTGAGCATGGAGGTAAGAGTAGTTGGTATTAGAAACTTGCTGACACAATAAAATAATCACATTTTTCTTGACGTGATAATTAATTACAACATCTTTTGGGTGTCACAAACACAACGATGGCCTTGTTGTCGCGACCGTAACACCGGCTGTCTCATACATTTTACCTTTACCGAATAAGTTACAACAACTTCAACAAACTTCATTTTCTCGCCCAGAATTCATACAATTAAAAGTTTTAATGTTAAATTTAAATTAAAGAAATCAATAGTCGGAAACCTCTCATGTACTTAACCAGAGGATCGTATTGGACCGTACCATTGTTAAGAACTGGAGGTGAGTTGGACCGTACCATTGTTAAGAACTGGAGGTGAGTTAAGCTGCCGGGCGCGTGAAATAATTTATGTTTTTTTAGTTTAATTAAAATAAATAGTTTTTATAAAGGTATTAATGTGTTTGCTTTGCAGTTACACGCAAACATGTGTCATTAAAACGATGACATTTAAATCAGGTTGTAGATATATTAGAAACATTATATTAAAGATGCTTCCTGTCAGGGCTTTCAAAATAAAAATACAAAAATCTAAAAAAAAAAATTAAAGATCGCCACAATAACTTAATTAAATCATAATTTGAATCAGAAAATTATTATTATTTAATTATTTTAAAATTATTATTATTTAATTATTTTAAAATTATTATTATTTAATTATTTTTAAAATTATTATTATTATTCAATTTAAAAAACAATTATTTAATTATTTTTAAATTATTATTATTTCATTATTTTTAAATTATTATTATTGTAAATACTTAAATAAAAAAGAACTACAGCTTTAAACGCCAAGCTCATTTATGTGAAGTCAAATATTTTGCGTTAGGGTCAAGCCTGTGACATTATTTGATTAATGAGGGCTTGGTTTTATTTACAGAACCCGTTCTTAAATGACCTCAAACATATTTGCATTTCTCTGCTCTGCTTCTTTTTACTCATTATGCCAACAAATGCACCGCTTCCTAAAATAAGCTGAGTTTAAATTGCCTCATACAGTTAACCCCACTGATTTGTTCGGCGAAAATTAAAGTAAAAATAGGATTACCAATTACATGCATATTAATATGATGTTATTTATATAATGTATTTGCCTATTACTTTTGGTATCTAACTACTAAATGATAGATTTCTGCTGTGGTGTGTCACGTTTATGTCTTTGCATAGTTAAGATGGCAACTCACAAATACTGAACATTTGCGAGTCTGTGGAAGATCATATTGGCCCCGAAGATGAAATGTTGCTTTTTAAAAATCCTTTAACGTGAGTGTTAAGAAGATCCTGGTGTGTGGATCTTCTTGCTCCTGTATGTCGTTTTGGATCCAGCACCCTCTAAGGCAGGGGTTCCCAAACTTTTCAGCTTGCGACCCCCATTATGACGTAATAGATACTTGGGACTCCACAATTGACGAACAAGAATAGAATAGAATTACTTTATTGATCCCAAACTGGGAAATTGTTGCGTTACAGCAGCAGGTTGTCCAAACATAATAATAGCAAATAATATAAAAAATTAGCAATTAGCATTAGGTCAAAACACTGGCATTAGAACAGCAAACAATAGCCCAAACAACATCATATTATTTTTGTAATTTATTGTAAGAAACTCCTTTTTTTTACTTACCGTATTTTCAAATTAATGGGTGAAATATCCAATTTTTTAAAAACCATTTTCCATATTTATATGTTTTTGGAAGGAATCTCGTGACCCCCCTAACAGTCTTCCACGACCCCCCCAGTGAGTCCCAACCCCCAATTTGGGAACCACTGCTCAAAGGGATGTAGCCTACGTGTCTTTTTAAAAATATATATATTTTCTGTTGTAGCTGTCTGATTTTATTTTGAAAATCATGTTACCAAACATCCGGTGCTGTCTTCGTGTAAACTTGACTGCTTTGTGCGCTGACTCAATCAATGATCCGTTGCTCGGGGTTTCGATTGAGCAGCCTGGCCCGGGCCAACACGAAGCGATAATATGGGGAGTCGGGTCTGCGCGTCTTTTCTGTCTTTCACCTTTACAGAGTTTATCATCGTTACCTGAAGCTGTCTCCGTTTAACCCGCGCGGCTGTGTTCTCCGTTCACCGCGGCTGTTTGTTCGATGTCGCGTTTGAGGACCGTCCGTCAAACCAGCACCTGGCGTCTGCCGGCGGAGTGAAGAGCGCCGCAGCCTTGCGTCAAAGCCAGCTAAAAGCTAAACCGTGGGTAGGACAAGTCAGCGATAAAGACCGGCAACAGCCACGTTACCCCGAGCTAGCCAGGCAGCCAGCAAGACGGGTTATTTTTGGCACGGTTGCGTTCACATGCTCCGTTTTAGACGCTAGTCCAAACATCTGTGCAGAAGCTGCAAGAAAAAAAAACCTTTTGAGTGTATTTTAGGGTTTGTATATCGTCTCACCAGGTACCTGAACACAACTCTGTTTTTAAAGCACAGGTAAAAAGAAAAACAGTTAATTGTGATTAATTGCGCAACATCTGGTTTAAAAAAAGGGGCCTCATATCTAACACATGAGGCCCGGTTGAAAAAAGATGGACCTGAATTTTTATTCGGATTTGACGGACGGTACCGGGCAGCACGACGGGGATCCAGAGTTCCTGGATCCGCATTCATTCAATGGATTTGATTCTGACAACAAGGTGACTCTCTGATTTAATGGTGGTGAACAATCCCTTAAAATGTCTGTCATTGAACGCATCTTGTTTGTAAAGATGTCACCTTTGTTTTCAGTCTAGAGGACACTGAATGAGGTTTATTATTACTGCAGCACCACTTACTCAATGTCTGTGTTGTGATGTTATCACAAAAGGAACAAGATAGTTTTTAAAACAATATATTTGAATGACTAACGCACCTTTTTAATGTTTCAGTTCCCTGGAGGAAGTGACAACTACCTGACAATCTCCGGGTCCAGCCATCCCTTCCTCTCGTCTTCAGAGGTAAACCCTGAAAGATCTGATCAAACAGTTTATGTTTTCTCTCTAAGCAGGTTTTTATCGCTCGGTATGACTTAAAATTGTAATGATGTTAACCTTATAAATGCTGCTTTCAAGTCCCGTCGTGAAAATGAAAACTAGACCTCCTCCCTTCCCTCTTTCCGTCTTCCCTCCAGACCTTCCACACCCCCAGCCTCGGCGATGAGGAGTTCGAGATCCCCCCGATCTCTCTGGACCCGGACTCGGCCCTCACCGTGTCGGACGTGGTGTCGCACTTCGGCGAGCTGTCGGACACGGGACCCTCGGACAGCGTGGTGGTCCCCGGGAACGCCGTGGTGGAAGGGGACGACCCGTCGTTCGCCTCCACCTTCGTCAACGCCCCCTCGCAGGGGCTTGAGCACCTGAGTCTAGGGGTCATAGGTCACCAGTCGGGAGGCGGCGCTCTGCTGGGGTCGTCACTGGGGATGGTGAGAAGGGCGGGACTTTTAGATTTTAAAGTTCTTTCAGTTTAAATGTCTCTAAATGTTTCTCCGCTCGCAGGACCTCGGCCATCCGATCGGCTCTCAGTTCAGCAGCTCGGTCACCATCGACGTCCCGCTGGGCGACATGAGCCAGGGCCTTCTGGGCTCCAGCCAGCTCACCACCATCGACCAATCGGAGCTCAGCGCTCAGCTGGGGCTCGGCCTGGGAGGAGGGAACATTTTACAACGCTCCCAGTCGCCCGAACACCGGCTGTCGGCCACGGCGTCGCCCACCAGCTCGCTGCAGGACGACGACATGGACGACTTCAGGAGGGTCCGTCTCTAAACGTGTGGAGGTTAATTAGACGATGTCTACGCTCCTGTTTCATTGTTCTCTCTCCTCGTCTCTTCCCATCAGAGCGTCCTGGTCGAGTCCCCCGTCTCTCTGGCCGTCTCCCCCGCCGTCATCTCGCTCGACCCCTCGCTGTCGGCGCCCCCTCTCTCCGCTCCGGCCTCCAGAGAACAACAGAAGAGATACCCCAACGAGCATCAGAAACCCGTGTCGGCCTACGCCCTGTTCTTCAGCGACACGCAGGCGGCCATCAAGGGGCAGAATCCCAACGCCACGTTCGGAGAGGTGTCGAAGATCGTGGCGTCCATGTGGGACAGCCTCGGCGAGGAGCAGAAACAGGTGAGAGAGGACGACGGAGTCAAGAATCTGATTGCAGTCGTGACCTCACTGTGTCAGCTGGATGAAAGCAGATTCAGTAACCCCGCCCCCGTTTGACTTTCAGGTTTACAAGAGGAAAAACGAAGCGGCAAAGAAGGATTACTTGAAGGCGATGGCGGAGTACAGAGGCGGACATTTTTCTCAGGTAAGAGGTTCTCCGATACATCAAACAGTCGGATCAAAGGTGGAATGAAAATTGTTTAAAGGAACGCTGAAAGAAGGTCAGTGTGTGATGTCATGAGGTCAGTGTGTGATGTCACGAGGTCAGTGTGTGATGTCACGAGGTCAGTGTGAGATGTCACGAGGTCAGTGTGATGTCACGAGGTCAGTGTGTGATGTCATGAGGTCAGTGTGTGATGTCACGAGGTCAGTGTGTGATGTGTGTGATGTCACGAGGTCAGTGTGTGATGTCACGAGGTCAGTGTGTGATGTCACGAGGTCAGTGTGTGATGTCACGAGGTCAGTGCGTGTTGTCACGAGGTCAGTGTGAGATGTCACGAGGTCAGTGTGTGATGTCATGAGGTCAGTGTGATGTCACGAGGTCAGTGTGTGATGTCACGAGGTCAGTGTGATGTCACGAGGTCAGTGTGTGATGTCATGAGGTCAGTGTGTGATGTCACGAGGTCAGTGTGTGATGTCATGAGGTCAGTGTGATGTCACGAGGTCAGTGTGATGTCACGAGGTCAGTGTGTGATGTCACGAGGTCAGTGTGATGTCACGAGGTCAGTGTGTGATGTCACGAGGTCAGTGTGTGATGTCACGAGGTCAGTGTGTGATGTCACGAGGTCAGTGTGTGATGTGTGTGATGTCACGAGGTCAGTGTGTGATGTCACGAGGTCAGTGTGTGATGTGTGTGATGTCACGAGGTCAGTGTGTGATGTCACAAGGTCAGTGTGTGATGTCATGATGTCAGTGTGTGATGTCATGATGTCAGTGTGATGTCACGAGGTCAGTGTGTGATGTCATGATGTCAGTGTGATGTCACGAGGTCAGTGTGTGATGTCACGAGGTCAGTGTGTGATGTCACGAGGTCAGTGTGTGATGTCATGAGGTCAGTGTGTGATGTCACGAGGTCAGTGTGTGATGTCACGAGGTCAGTGTGTGATGTCACGAGGTCAGTGTGTGATGTCACGAGGTCAGTGTGTGATGTCATGAGGTGGTTATGACTCTGGACTCATCGACGTCTGAGAGTTTTGTTAAAGTGAGATGAGGCGTTCAAAGACAGCAGCAGTGTCGTTCTTTTCCATCATTGCGACTATAAGGAGACACTGAGGAGGCTTATCTACGGTGTGCCTGAGGGGACAAAATAGCATGTGATTAATCGTGATTTGCTTTGATTTCAGACCTTACTAATCAGGATGAATGTCTCTACGGGTGTTTGACACGGTTAAGTCAGGATGAATGTGATGTAACTGAGGTTGTAAAGACTCCGCCTCCATCAGACAAACATCCGTCAGTAAAGCTTTAATCTTCACTTCACAGCAGGAGAGATGTTCTAACTTCCTCTCTCTCTTTTCTCTCTTCAGGCTCCGATTGAAGTGATGGACACCTCCCCGTCGCCCCCTCCTCCAGCCCCCGCCCCCTCCATCAAGACCTCCCCCGCCTCCACCCTGTCCACTCGCACCACCCGCTCCCAGCACTACAACCCCGAGGAGAACACCATCACCAACATCTGCACGTCCAACATCATCCTGGACCTCCCCCAGGTCACGACGCGCTCTCGGACTGGCGCCATTAAACCCCAACCCCCACCGCCCCCCTGCAGAACCCCCCCGCCGTCACCAAAATCATCATCAAACAAACGCAGCTGCCCTCCGGCGGCGTGTCCGTCACGGCGACGGCCGCCTCCTCGCCGCGGCAGCCTCCGCCCCTCCAGCAGATGCAGAGCAACCCTCCTCCCCCGCGGCTGCAGCAGATGGTGCGCGCTCAGGCTCCGCCCCCTCTGCAGGCCAAACCGCGGGGAGGAGGAGCAGCCGCCGCCGCCAAGGCTCCGCCCCCGCTGCAGATCAAAGTCGTCCCGCCGGCGAGACAGTCGGACGCGAGCGTGCCGATCATCGTGACGTCATCGGGCGACGCGCCCACATCGGTGTCGCTGCTGGGTCTGAGGATGGAGGTCGGTCAGTCGGGCGACGTGGAGGCGGGAGGAGAGGAAGTGGTGGAGGCGGAGGAAGGGGTGAGACTCATACTCCACAGTGTTGCATTCACTGTCCCAGAAAAGAATCGTAAATGTCTGTATTTGCTACTTTCTGTCCAGATGGAGGTGGAGGTGAACATCGCCCCCGTCCCCAGCATGACCCCCACCGCCGGCCGGAACGTGTGCGTGCGCGCCGGCTGCAACAACCCGGCCGTGGAGAGCAAAGACTGGGACAAAGAGTACTGCAGCAACGAGTGTGTCGCCAACCACTGCAGGTCGGTTCACAACAACGTGCACGACGACCTCATCTGAAAACACAATGACACAAGATGAGCAAAGACAGAATTATTAATATTATTATTTCATTTAAATATATGCACACTTATGTAAATACTGTAATCGACCCATCTGTCACATAACTGCATTTTACTTCTCATGTTACTTCAGCATCTTTTGCACTGTTTCATATTTAATCATATAAATATTAGTCTTTTCTTATCATGTTTATTGTTGATATTTAATGTTGTACTTGTACATAAGAGAGCACAGAACACCAAAGTTAAATTCCTTGTGTGTAAGCATAGCTGTCCAATAAATCTGATTCTGATTCTGACAGAAGAGGAATTGTTTTGTCCCCAGGGGGCGCCAAAATCAACACAAAGCAAAAGTTCCTCAGATGAATTTTCTTCATTGTTGTCTGCATGATTTCAACCGACAGCTGCAAGAGACAATCACATGGTTTATTATTTAATTTAGATAATCAGGGAATTTGTTTCTCAAGGAATCAAACATGAAAAATGCTCTTCAGGACGTTCTTAGATTTTCTTGTTCTGACCATAATTTTATTTATTTATTTATTTAGGGACATTGCATATTGATAAACATTTCTGTAAATATAATTTTCATCTCTTGTCCCTGGCAAGATTTTATAAAAGGCTCCTTTAAAAAAAACAAAAACAAATTCAAACATCGCTAAAAGCTACAAAAATAGAAATATCACGACAGTAATTAAGCAGACACCGGAGAAAATACATAAACCATGCAGGATACACTTAAAGCAGCAATTGGTTCATATATAAAATGTATTATCATGCAGGAGGACAGACATGGAGAAGCACTGAGCAGACATAACAAACAAAACAAGTGTTAGTAAAAGCACGTAGCCAATGATTTCATTGTATGTCAGCGACGACGCTCGTGCATGTAAGTGAGGGGGGCGTGGCTTTTGAGGGAGCACAGAGGGGAGAGGGCGGGTGCAGACGGAGCACTGAGGGAATGCTACTTTCAAAAATCATGTTAGTTCTTTTGAAAATGACCGACCCTGCCTTTAAATGAATAATGGTCAAAGCCTTTTTTTTTTTTTTAAATCTGCCTCTACACTTCCATACGTCTAAATAAGGAGTTGAAATGACCTCTCTTGTTGTTGTCTCCTCCACAGAGATGTGTTCATGGCCTGGTGTTCCATCCGAGGGCAGAACTCCACCACCGTCACATAGGGAAGAAGAAAAACTGACGAGCAACAAAAAAAAAAAAAAAAAACTCGCCAGTTTATACGCTTCACGGAGAGGAAACACGGACAAGGAACAGAAAATAAATAAAAATTAACACGAAGGAATGAATGGTCAGGCTCAGGTATCGGCACATAATCATGAGGGGAAAAAACTAAGAGGAAGACGCACCTGCAGGGGAGAAAGAAAAAGCTGAAAGTCACTAAGATGCTTTTTTTTTTTTTTTTTTCTGGGATCGATTAACCTCCCCTGAGGACACAAATAATGCAACAGAGGAAACTAAAGACTGGACTCTGACTTCCCTAATGATCCTCTCTATTGGGAATCTGCATCACAGACTTCTATATATATACAAATATATACATAAATATATCAAATGGATCATTTTTTATGGACTTGGTGTGTTTTTAATTGTCATGAAAAGATGAAAAAGAGCAGGAAATCATGACCCTGCAGATAAATTCAGCTTCTTGGATCTTCCCATCACGGTCGCATCGAGGACTGATTCACGTCAAAGGGGACGGACGAGCAACGAGCTGGACGAAGCACAAACAGTCTTAAAGGTTCGTTTGGAGGCGAGGTGTTTGAGCCGCTCGAAGACAAAAACGATCGTTGAAACCATGTGAGAGGAAACTTTCCAAACAGGTGCTAACATTCAGGAAACTACAAACAGTTTCCTCAGTTCTCATTTTTTCTGCCGAGTCACCTGAAAAACAACAACACGAGAGTTTTAAAGGTGCATCTTTTGTTTTATGACAAACTTTTGTGGTGTAATGTGTTTGAGGGGGGAAAAAAAGAAGAAAATATATGAAATAAAGACACCAGCTTCAACAACACTTCTGTAAGGGGGGCAGGGGGGGGTTAAGGGAATCCAGTGTAAAAGCTTTACTTTTTAACATGACGGTGTTTTAATTTAAAGAGCTGCCTTCAGGGCGGTTTGATGACGGAGGACAGGACGGTCGATGATGCAGTGATCATGCTGGTTGATTGTAAATATCCTGGAAATGTTTGTAATTGTGAAATAAAATATTTTATGTTTTAATATACATTTTTTGGGACGCACGTTTTGGCTTCACAAAGACAAGCTGCAGTGACGTTTATTTGTTTTTTTACTCAATGATCAAACAGAATCAGTGCTGATGGATATTTTACATGAATTTAAACTTTCACTGAGAATTAATTTGGTTTCTCTAAATATCTTGAAGGATTAGGAGATTTTAAATCTTCATAGAAGTTTTAAGCTCATTGGGGTGCAGATGGCCTAGCGGTTCGGACGCCCCCCTAATGGATGGAGTCTTCCAAGCAGGTGTCCCGGGTTCAAGTCCGGCCTGTGGCTCCTTTCCTACATGTCACCCCCCCCACTCTCTCTCACACTGTTTTTCCTACTTCATCATCTTTCCTTTCAAAATAAGTCAAAAAGCCCAAAAGCTTTTGAATATTAAACTGAAGTGTTTTCTTTGTCTGGGAGAATAATTATTTTTTCCTCATTTTTAATGTATGTCATTGATTAAAAACGCCAAATAAAACCACACTTTTAAAAAAAAGTGTGTAATAAAACTCAAACTTTATTCCCAAAGATTATAAATAAAGACTTTTCTTCTTCTTCTTCTTCTTTTAGACATCCCGGCACTTTAGACCACATCTGGGCGAATCACTGCCCTCCACAGGCGCGCTTTTCTATCGCGAGATTGACGTCGGTGCAAAGTTTGATGACGATGGCGGGAAAGGCCACCATGGCGGGAAAAAGCAGCGTGGACCACAACTAGTGAGAGGAGGCGCTGTTGCGCAGTGCTCGCCCTGCACAACTGCAAAACTACAAAACTGCACTGAAAATGCGCCACAAAAACCATCACGTCCATTTATAAAACACGGATTAAAGGAGAACGAGAAGAATAATTGTTTTAATTGTTTTAATTTAAATGAAGAAATCTTTATGGTAAAATAGTGTTTCTTATGAAAGCTGATATGTGAAGACTCAGGAGGAGGAGGAGGGGGGAGGGAGAAGGAGCCGAGGAGGAAGGGAAAGGAAGGAAGGAGGGAGGGAGGGAGTAAGGAAGGACGGACTAATTACAACAGATTGGTGTGTGCGTGGTTAAGGTGGAGAAAAGCCAGATTACGGTGCATTATATGTTTAAAAAAATAAGATTTGTTTTAAAGCGGATGGATTTGTGAGGTTTGTGTTGCATAAGGAAAAAGGCCTTTATTAAAGGAGGTGTGTGTGTGTGTGTATGTGTGTGTGTGTGAAGCAGGCGGGGAGAGAAAGTGCGTTATTGTTGGTTGACACTGATCATCATCATCATCATCATCATCCTCCTCATCCGGCCCGCGGAGCAGCGAAGAAGAAGCCGGGAGCTGGAGTTTGAACACGGGACTCACCATGGCGGTAAACCTAGACAAGGACGCGTATTACCGCCGGATCAAGAGGCTGTACGGCAACTGGAAGGTAAAGGCTGCTCGATTCGGCGTTAAAAAAATGTATTTCCGTGAGTTAAAGATGTTAAAAAAGTGAGCTGCTGGAGGAAAGCCCCCCCCCCACACACACACACACTACAGAAAGCTAGCGGAGCGAGCTGACAGTGTTGTCGGCGTGAGCGGTGCTGATTCCCCGCATGACAAAGCACCGACACCCGGGGTCGCATGGAGGGCCTCACTCACCTTTAAACCACTTTTTTTTTTTTTTCTTCTTTTAAATCCGCTCTGATTCTCTCACACAACCCCGAACTTACTCACCCCCCCCTCTCTCTCTCTCCCCCCTCTCTCTCTCTTTAACTATAACGCAGCGCTAACTCATGTTAGGCTAATCAACCCATTCACCGCGTTAGCATGCCAGCTAACTAGCCTGCTCGATAGGGAAGTTTGTGCTGGCTGACTTGGCAGTAAAGCAGCTGAAATGCGCGATGAATCAGCGTGTGTTCATTCAACAAGCACACGGTGACTCTAAAAAGCAAGGTGTGATTCTCTTAACTCTGCTGAAGTGTTTAATGTGTCGCTGTATGCTAATGTTAGCACGCTAATTAGCATCAGCATCACAGCAACGTGTGCAGGATGTGCTGCAGGATTTACTTGATTTGATCACAAGTCTTTTTTTTTTTTTTGTCCCCGTGTGTTTGAGGTAACTTTAGGGAATGTGTGGCAACTTTTCAAAGGGGGTTTTCATCTTTTCTTGTTGTGTTTTCTGTGATATTGTGGCTAAAAACATGAATTCAAGCAGCCTGACAACAAAGCACTGCTCACATTCATCCTGCTCAACACTAAAAAGTTTGACTTAAAGACTTTTTGAGACATGCAGCTCCTCTGTGTGTTTCAGCATCAGGTGTGGATGTTGCCAACTTCACACAGATGCTCCCAAACTCAGGCGTCTCCTCTCCTCTCATTCATTGTTCTGTGTGTTTGTGTGTTTGTGTGTTTGTGTGTTGTTGTTGTTTCAGAAAGCAGAAGATGAGTTTGGCAAAGTGGACGCCATCGTGGTGTCTGTCGGAGTGGACGAGGAGATTGTTTACGCCAAGTCCACGGCCATACAGGTAACCCACGCGTCCCATCAGAAGCAGCAGCATCGCTCAGACGTCCCCGATGAGACGCTGTGACGTTTGTTTTTCTTGTTCTTCATCAGACTTGGCTCTTCGGCTACGAGCTGACGGACACCATCATGGTGTTCTGCGACACCAAGATCATCTTCCTCGCCAGCAAGAAGAAGGTGGATTTCCTCAAGCAGGTCGCCATCACGAAGGGCAACGAGAACGCCAACGGAGTCCCGCCCATCACCCTGCTCACCAGAGAAAAGGTGAAAAGGCCTCAAACACATCTTCTTCTTCTTCTTCTTCTTCTTCTTCTTCTTGTTCGGTGCAGATTTTCCCCCCTGTTCTCATGACTCACTGACTTCAGTCGGCGTGATCACACTTCAGCGCTCACAGAATTTACCGCCGTGCATCGCCGGCTGCTTTATAAATATTCCCAATTTGAATATATTTTTATTTCATTTCATATTTTATTTATTTGCTCATTTCAGTGTTTTGGTTTCAACACAATAAAACACAACAAATGTTTTCTCATAATGCTGAAACACTGTTCATGAGCAGGAAGAAGAAAACTTAAACCCCCCCGTTCTTAATAACACAAGATACTGTTTAACAGAATAAGATGGCTAACATGTTGTTTTAATAAATCAACAATATAGAAACAATCAGATTAACTCGATACATCAGATCCTTCTCTTCATACATTCTTTTGAATTGAATGAGAGTCGAGCAGCAGCCAGGTGATGGAGGGCTTTGTAGGTCATGATGAGGAGTCTGATGTACAGAAAACAACAAAGCATTTATCTGTTCCATTTTTCTTTTTTGACATTTTTTTAAATATACTCTATATCCCAGAAAGAAACATTTTTATTTCCAGTATAGATCAGCCCTCATTGAAATATAATAAATGACTAAAGCAAGAAGTTGAACTGTTGTGCTTGATCACAAATCCATAAATAAAGAAACATCCGGGGGGAGGAAAGTTCAAATGTGCTCATGGTGAACTCCTCAGATCAGTTCACACTCTTAAAGCCGTCTTTGTTTGTGCCTCTCAGAACGAAAGCAACAAAGCCAACTTCGACAAGATGATTGAGGCGATCCGAGGCAGCAAAGAAGGGAAGACGGTCGGCATCTTCAGCAAGGACAAATTCCCCGGAGAGTACATGAAGAGCTGGAGCGACACCATCACCGCCGAGGGCCTGGAGAAGGTAAGACGGCGTCTCGAGTTACAGCTTGAATCAAGGAGTTTGGGAGTGTTTTTTTTTATTAAGCCCCGCCTCTGACCTCTGCAGGTGGACATCAGCGCTGTGGTCGCGTACACGATGGCGGTGAAAGAGGAGGGCGAGCTGTCCCTGATGAAGAAGGCGGCGGCCATCACCAGCGAGGTTTACTCCAAGTTCTTCAAAGAGCGCGTGATGGAGATCGTCGACGCAGACGAGGTGAGGAGCGTTGAAACGACTCGTCCTGAAGGGGACTTTAAAGTTCTCATGGATTCAGTTTTCAGATGTTCTGACTCCCCCCCCCCTCCTCTCTCCTCTCTCTCTCTCGTGTCCTACAGAAAGTGCGTCACAGCAAGCTGGCGGAGTCGGTGGAGAAGGCGATCGAGGAGAAGAAGTACCTGGGCGGAGCGGATCCGTCCACCGTGGAGATGTGTTACCCTCCCATCATCCAGAGCGGAGGAAACTACAGCCTCAAGTTCAGCGTCGTCAGGTAGAATCTCCTCGCTCGGCAGGGACACACTCAACACCTCCAAAATGTGTTTGAAGCGGGGAATACGTTTCCGTCTGTCACCTGTGGAGAATATATTATTTGCAAGTCGTTCAAGTTGCAAGCTCGGCAAAATATATATATATACATTTTTTTTAAAGATTTCTTTCTGGTGGCTTTTAGCTTTTATTTTGAAAGGACAGTGGATAAAGTAGGAAATCTTGACGAGGGAGAGCGAGGTGTGACATTTCTGAAAGGCAACCACAGGTCGGGCTTGAAGCCAGGCGTCCCGCTTAGAGGGCTACACCTCCGTACGTGGGGTGGGGGTCGGGGGTGGGACCTAACCGCCAGACCAGCTGCGCCCCAATCAGAGAATACTTTTCAGACCCTGAACTACAGCGAAGAAGACCGCGAGCAAGACGTCTTTAAAATGAATTCTTCTGGCCACTAGAAGGTTCTGACTTGTGTTTAATTCATCATCGGGTTTGGACAAAGAGACTCGTCAAATCTCCACTTTAGAGAACGTGGAATGGGGATGATTATCTGGGAAGAAAAAAACGTTTTTAAGAAAAAACATTCGGCAATAAAAAAATAAAATTTACATGGAGAAAAAAAACACGTTTAAGATGATCTAAAAAAAGGTCATTTCTGTGATGCTATATTTCTTCTTGACCCCAAAAAAATGCAGCAGACGCGTCGGTAGCTTGGCGGTTATGTTGCACGCCACATGTACAGAGGCTGTGCGGCGGCCGTGGGTTCGAATCCGACCTCTGCCCTTTTCGGCATCACCCCCCCACTCTCTCCTCCCGTCACTTCCTGTCTCTCTTCCGCTGTCTTATCCAATAAAACGGCCCAAAATATATCTTTTAAAAAAAAAATGCAGTTGCGATCGTAGAAATTATAATATTTTTTTCTTTTCTAATACGAATTTGGTAAAGAAAAGGTTTCCACTAGGGGTGTGCACGTGTAACCGGTTAATAAATCATAACCGTTTAGGGAAAATCAGTCAACGAAAACCGTTTAAAACAAATTAAAATGTTTTAGAGACACGCATTCAATCATCTCTGAATGAATGAAGCTACAGATGTTCCACTTTGACAACGTTACTGCGCTCGTAAATGCACGTGATAAATGTTGGATAACTGACCACCGGGCATGACGTCGATTACGTCACGTCACGAGTAAGTTTCGCTCTTGACTTGCGACGGCAGCCAAGACTGCTCAGCGACGTGCGGCGTGGAGGAGCCGCGCTCCTGGGGATCCACTCTGGTTCCGGGCGATTCTTTGGACGTGACTGTGCGGGTTCTGGGTTCTTTCCATGTCGCCCTTTCACAGCGGCGGTAACCGGTTGAACGTAAGTCCGTAAGCCTCTCTTACCCCCCCCCCACCCCCCGAGCGAGGCGTAAACAGACACGGAGAGTCCGGCTTGTTATTTTGTCATCATAACATGTCTCACACACCTGCCGAACACACACTCGCCTCGTTCTCTCTCTCTTCTCACTCGCTCTCCCCCCCCACACACACACACATGCACACTGAGCCCTTCACAGACAGACACCCTGCTCGTGTGACTTCTATGGAAAGTTTTCTGTGTTACTTCTACAGCCTACTTTATAAAGCACAGTTGTATCTGAAACTAGTTGTATCTGGATTTGTAAAAACAGGAACAAGCTGTTGTGTAGAAGCAATCAAGACCACATTTGCAATATTTAGGCTTTTTTTTTTTTTTTTTAATCAGGACTGGCAGATGTTCTGTACGATCACAGGAAACTACTTCAAGCTGCTTTTTCTGTGAGTGGCGGCAGTGATGCAGAGGAATCTTTATGTAAAGCGGCCGCACCCTCCATTGGTTGTATAGCGCGATTGCGGTCCACTTTAAAAAAAAAAAACATTATTAATTAAAAAAAAAAAAAACTGTTAACCGTGTACTCAGAAAAAATGACTTTTTGTAGCCACACACTCCTAGTTTCCACTATCATGTTTTGTTCCGTTTCCAAATGTGAAGCTATGTTTGACGACATGTTGAAGGTTAGCTTAGCATTAAAACTTAACGTCCTGTGATTCCAGCGATAAGAACCACATGCACTTCGGCGCGATCACGTGTGCCATGGGGATCCGCTACAAGTCGTACTGCTCCAACCTGGTGAGGACCCTCATGGTGGACCCGCCCCAGGAGATGCAGGACAACTACAACTTCCTGCTGCAGGTGGAGGAGGAGCTGCTCAAGGAGCTGAAGCACGGTGGGTTCAGGGGCCCGGCTGGGAGAGTGGGAACTTCAGGCGTTTGTCACAGAAAGCTGGGAACTTGTTTAAAGTTACAGGTCAGGTGTAGATGTGTCATTCAAGTTCTTTAATGTATTTATTTTTTAATCATGGTTGGAAGAAGTAGACGGTGCAAAGTTGATGGTTTCTTGTTTCTTAAAATAATTCTAAATAAAAAATTCAGAGGTTCAATTTTAGAAGCTTAAAAATGTGAATTTGGTTACTTTTTTAAAAACACACAATCAGACAATCGTCACTTCAGTGTTCTGTTAACGACCAAACAATTCCTGATAAGAGAGGAGGGACGCAGCCGAGCACGTTTTTAGATTTAACCTCCGTCTCCTCCGCAGGCGTCAAAATCTCCGACGCCTACAACGCCGCCGTGGAGTACGTGAAGAAAGAGAAGTCGGAGCTCGTCGCCAAGCTGACTAAAAACCTCGGGTAAATGCACACCTTGTTTTTTGTTTTTTTGCTTACATCAGCACTTTTTTTTTAGACGTCTGATAATCACCTCCACTTGTTGTTGTTGTTTCTTTTGCAGCTTCGCGATGGGGATCGAGTTCAGAGAAGGCTCTTTGGTTCTGAACGCCAAAAACCAGTACAAGCTGAAGAAAGGTGAGCGTTTGACTTCAGTGTTTGTGTCGACGTAACTCTGGTTTTGAAGACGAGTTTTAACGTGCGTCTCCTCCAGGCATGGTGTTGAGCATCAGTCTGGGTTTCGCCGACCTCGTCAACAAAGAGGGGAAGAAAGACGAGCAGAAGAAGTACGCCTTGTTCATCGGGGACACGATACAGATCAACGAGGTAAGACGCGCCGTCAAGGGTGCCGCTGTGTGATGTCGCGGCACGCTCTCGTTGTAAACGCATTTATTACAAGCGGACGTGTTTGTGTCACAGGAGGAGGCGGCGACGATACTCACACCAGTCAAGAAGAAGATCAAAAATGTGGGAATCTTCTTGAAGGTGAGTCTCTGTCTTCACTTTTTGTAAGAAATGCGAGCAATAAAAAAAGTACACTTTGGACCGAGGCGATAAAACGAGAATTATTGTGATGTTGTTTAAATATAAAAAATGTTTGATAGATTTAACCTGTAATTACACCATTTAGCCACCAGGGGAACAGCAGGGCGCTACTAATGCCCCTTAAACGCTAGTTTCCACCCGACATTAAATAGAGAAGACGATGAACCAATCACGTCGCAGGGATATGGGTAGGCGGGCTTTACAGAGACGTTTAGAGCGCAATGGAAACAGCCAAAATTAGTGCTAGCCACGCTGAAGAAAACGCCGAGCGTACGGCTCAAAGCGAGAGGAAACATCGACAAGACGACAAGAGAGGACGCTCCACTTCAGGAGCTTTAGAGACATTTTGGCGTTCCGTCATCACTTCCAAATATGGTCACAACCCCTCCCCCCTCCCCACACTCTCTGTCTTAGTCTTCTTCACACTTTTGAACGCCGCTGCTTGTTTGTTTTGTTTCCATCTCAGAACGACGACGAGGAGGACGAGGAGGAGGAAGGAGACGACGCCGAGGAGCTGCTGGGGAAAGGGGCTCGGAGCGCCGCCCTGCTGGCAGACAGAACCAGAGTGAGTCCAGAAGAGCGCGCGGTTGATTGTTATTCTGTCACCTTGACTTGAGGGTGTGTAACTAAGAGTGTGAATGTCTTTGTACTTTATCAGCTACTGGGGAAGGTAAGTACTTCTCGTTTCTACTCAAACCTCATCAGCTGTGGTTCAGTTCTGAGAATCCACGTTCTGAGGGGAAAACGTTTTTGTCCTTTTTTCGTTTGAGTGACTCGTTTTTTGTTTTTGTTTTTTTTTTAGTTTTTTTTCTGACCATCCGCGCACATGCCTGTAAATCTGCATGTATTTTTATGATTTGATCCCATTTCTTGTAAAAACGTTCGTGCTCCCGGGTGCCGGTGTGTGATCACTCAGTTGTTGTCTGTTGTCAAAACTCAGAACGAGATGACGGCGGAGGAGAAGAGGCGGGCCCATCAGAAGGACCTGGCCAATCACCTGAACAACGAAGCCAAGCGTCGACTGACGGAGCAGAAGGGAGAGCAGCAGATCCAGAAGTGAGTGTAAAAGTCGGCCTTGTTGATTTATTTAACCCAAAGTCAAACGGTCTTGAATCTCGTCTCGACCCACGTTTATTAATCCGACCGTCTCTGTTTCCTCTCAGGGCCAGAAAATCGAACGTCTCCTACAAGAACGTCTCGCAGATGCCTCGAGAAAAAGACATCCGAGAGATGAAGATCTTCATCGACAAGAAATACGAGACGGTCGTCATGCCCGTGTTTGGTATCGCCACGCCGTTCCACATCGCCACCATCAAGGTTTGCCCAAACGCTCACTCCTCACGCTCACGTTGTTGTTGTTTATCACAGTGACTTTAACGTTTTCTCCTCTTCCCTGTTCAGAACATCAGTATGTCGGTAGAAGGAGACTACACCTACCTGAGGATCAACTTCTACGTCCCCGGCAGCTCTCTGGGGCGACAGGAGGGAAACATCTTCCCCAACCCCGACGCCACGTTTGTTAAAGAAATGTGAGTCTCAACTTAAAAATGACCGAACCTTTCAATGAAGGTTTCCCAAATTCAAAGTGAGGGTGAAGAGAAACATACTGATATCTCAAGGATTCCTTCATTTGTCAAAAAAATAGAAATTGACATTTTTTTTACTCTTTTAGTGTTGACCAGGTAATTATTCAGATTGACACAGTTCAGCAAATTCTAATTTCCTGTTTATTGTTGCTTTGCGTTTGATCAAAGACAGTACAGGAGTGAAATCCATCCCCGTTCTTACTTATTAGAACGGTCAGAAACAATCAAATTATATTAAAGGTCACACATTCTCCTCTTTTTAAAAAAGTTTAAATAAGTCTCAGAGCTCCCCAAAACATGTGTGTCAAGTTTCTTGTTCTAAATCCACTCTGATCCTGTATTTGATCATGCCTATAAACTCCTCTATTTCAGCCCTGCTCAGAACAGGCTGTTTCTGTGTCTGTACCTTTAAATATGTAAATGAGCTGTGTCTGACCACGCCCCCTCTATGGAAGGGGATGTGGCTCATTTTCTGAAAAGTGGAGCAGGAAAAGACGGCGAGGGTGGACTTTTCTCATAAATGGGGGGTTTGTAGACGGACTAGAGACACATATTAGTGTTGGAGAAACATGGTGAAGAGGATTTTACAGAATGTGACCTTTGACCTTTAAGTATTCTCAAAATGAAAATTTGTCCAAATTAGGAAAAACCCTCCAAACTAACCGATTTAAATCTCATCGTTAAAACGGGCTTTAAACCTCCTTGACATCTTTAAATATCGCTCTTCCCCCTCAGCACATATCGAGCATCCAACCTGAAGGCGCCCGGCGACCCGTCGGTGCCCTCCACCAACCTGCAGAACGCCTTCCGCATCATCAAGGAGGTGCAGAAGCGCTACAAGACGCGGGAGGCCGAGGAGAAGGAGAAGGAGGGCATCGTCAAGCAGGACTCGCTGGTCATCAACCTCAACCGCAGCAACCCCAAACTCAAAGACCTCTACATCAGACCCAACATCGCTCAGAAGAGGATGCAGGGCTCGCTGGAGGCTCATACCAACGGTGAGACAGCGGGGACGCAAATTAAAAAAAAAATAAAAAAACACGTCTCTTGACGCACAGACGAGTGTTGGGGAATTTGAAAAATTATAAAAAAGAGGGCTTCTTCTCTCTCAGGTTTCCGTTTCACGTCGGTACGCGGCGATAAAGTGGACATTCTTTACAACAATATCAAGCACGCCGTCTTCCAGCCGTGCGACGGGGAGATGATCATCGTTCTGCACTTCCACCTAAAGGTACGTCCAGATCTCTGAGTGTGTATAAAGATGGACGACGCGCCTCTGCCTTCTCTCGGGGAAGCCAAAATATCCCCCCAACGAGGGCTGATGTGTTGTTCTGATGATGTCATTTGGAGACAGAGTCTGCTCATTAGGGATTGGCTGGTGGGACTGCAGGAGTCCCGCCCCCACCGCCAAACTAAACGCACACAAAACTAACCAATAAGATGACAAAGATCAGATTCTTGATTTAGTTTTGAAAAAGTTGAAAAAAAATAGTTTGGCCTCAATCAGTATTTATTTTCCCCGCAGAACGCCATCATGTTCGGAAAGCGACGCCACACGGACGTCCAGTTCTACACGGAGGTCGGCGAGATCACCACCGACCTGGGCAAACACCAGCACATGCACGACCGGGACGACCTGTACGCCGAGCAGATGGAGCGCGAGATGCGGCACAAGCTCAAGTCGGCCTTCAAGAACTTCATCGAGAAGGTGGAGACGCTGACGAAGGAGCAGCTGGAGTTCGAGGTTCCCTTCAGAGACCTCGGGTGAGTGACGCTTTTAGAAAACCCCGACCTTTAAAACAACGATTTGGAAAGCTTCACAAACAGGTGGACTGAATCTTTCTTTTCTTTTTTAGGTTCCAGGGCGCCCCCTACAGGAGTACCTGTCTGCTACAACCCACATCCAGTTCACTTGTTAATGTCACTGAATGGGTGAGTAAGCAAAGGTGGTCAAAATGTTCAAAACCTTGATACCACGTTTTAAAACGACGCTCTCTGTCGTCTCAAATATCAAAAAAGCACCGAAGCTTTAAAGAAACTCGTTCCATCTCTTAATGCTGTGAAAGAGAGAGAACTGTTTAGATGCATCAATATCTACATGTGTGCAGGAGTTCCCTTTTTTTAATTTCTGGTTATTCAAATTATTAGAACCCGACCGATTTATCAGCCAGCCGATATTATCTAATTTGATCACAGATATTTCTAAATGTATTCATCAGTCAAAAAACATTTAATTTGAGTTTCATTATATTACACCAGCAGTTCTCTTTCACCAGCAGAGGGCGCTGGTGCATTGTGTGTTTTTATATCCATCTTTCATAGATCTAAGAAAGATATCGGACGATAAATCGGTATCAGATTTTACAATTACTTTTTTTATTATTAAAGTGACATCATGTAAGAAGCTGTCGTCCAAGCGTCTCTCTGTTTCTCGTGATTCACGCGTTCCCTCCCGTGTCCCCGTCTTTCTTAGCCGCCGTTCGTGGTCACCCTGGACGAGGTGGAGCTGGTCCACTTTGAGCGCGTGCAGTTCCACCTGAAGAACTTCGACGTGGTCATTGTCTACAAGGACTACAGCAAGAAGGTCACCATGATCAACGCCGTGCCCGTCAACTCCCTGGACCCCATCAAAGAGTGGCTCAAGTACGGAACCCGACGCGGAGCAGATTCTGAGATCACAACCGGGAAGTTTGGAAACGATTCGCTCTAATTCTGGTCCCTCTCTCTTTTCTCAGCTCCTGTGACATCAAGTACACGGAAGGAGTCCAGTCCCTGAACTGGACCAAGATCATGAAGACCATCGTGGACGATCCAGAGGGCTTCTTCGAGCAGGGGGGCTGGTCTTTCTTGGACCCCGAGAGCGAGGTGCATACTTCTGCTCTGAGAAACACATGAACAAGTTCTCAAGCAGAAAGGGAGTTAATTTTTTAAATTTCATGGATTTGTGTTTTTGTTCTCAGGGGAGCGGTGCGGAGGAGGACTCGGAGTCCGAGATGGAAGACGAAACGTTCAACCCGTCTGCAGACGAAGAAGAGGAGGAGGAGGAAGACAGCGACGAGGACTACGACTCGGAGACGGAGGACTCTAGTAGGTTTTTTTTTTTTGTTTGTTTTCAGGAGATTATCTCTGGAGCTGTGATTTTTGATGAGAGGGGGAGGGGCTTACTGTGTTTGTTTCCTGTGTTGTAGATTACAGCGAGTCGGTCGGCAGCGAGGAGGAGAGCGGGAAAGACTGGGACGAGCTGGAGGAAGAAGCCAGGAGAGGTCGGTATCTCAATGTGTTTACTCGTCACTTGGCTGCAGACGGAACGTGTTTTTGTAAAGTTTGAACTAAAGTTGAAGCGTGGGGAAACTAAAAAAACATCTTAAAGCAAATCAGGTCTGCAGCTGTTTGAAATAACAAGACGTGGAGATGATGTTGCTAACCCTAAAAATGTGATTTGTACTTCTTTGGTCTATTTAAAAAAAAAAAAAAAGTTCAGTGTTAACGTTGTGATTTGTCGCCCTCTAGCGGACAAAGAGAGTCAGTACGAGGACGAGGACACGTCCAACAACAACAAGAAGAGAAAGGTCCGGTCAGAGCCTCCGCCGCCGCCCAGCAAGAAGAAGAGACGGCACTAAATGTCACACACACACACACACTCACACACACACACACACACACACACACACACACACACACACACACACACACACTGCCAAATCTAGTTCGCCCTTGATCCTTTCTTTAACCCCAAACGGCTCTTTTGACACACACACACAGAAAATGTGTATATAGATGTTAGAAGCCCCTTTTTTTTGGTGTTGGTCACTGATGATGATACGAGAAAGAAACACCCCCCCCCACACACACACACACACACACACACACACACACACACACACACACACACACACACTTGTCATTCATGAGCCTTTTTTTTCCCTCCTCATTCTCTCTTTTGTTTCCTCCTCTCGTCTCCATCCTTCAGCCGTCAGGTTTCACCTTTCTCTCTGTGTGTGTGTGTGTGTGTGTGTGTGTGTTTGTTTAAGTGGGTTTTTATTGCAAGTGTCCATTTTCTGTTTCTTGACTGACGGATTGATAAATGAAAAGACTTGCGAATATTCTGCCAAGTGTTTTTATATAAAAACAGAAACTTATAATTCCCCTCCCCCCCCCGACCTCCGTTTCACTTTCCCCGCTTCTTTCTTTTCCTTCAGTGTTTGTTAAATTGCGCTAAAAAAAGATTTGACTTTTGTCTTTTTTCCAGGGAGGGGCAGATACATTTTCTGATCTTTCTTTTTTTTTAAAAGGGGTTTGTAAAGGCACACGCATACATACACACCGTCTCCCTCGCACTCGTCCTCTTCTCCGTTTCTCTCTTTTGTTCGTTTGGAGTAGATTCTGTCTGTTGTTGTACTATTCATTCTGAAAAAAATCCTGTTTTTGTAATAAAATTAAAAGGAACTCTAGTTATTTTTGATTGTCTGTTTTTTTTTTTCTTTCTTGTTAAACACTTGAAGGTGTCTCTAAAGTTTCACCTCGTTTTCAACATTTCTTTTTGTTTTTTCGGTTGTCTGAATGTAGAAACTCAGAAAAAAAAAAAAATCGGCTTTCTATGATACACAAAGTTAAAGTCAACATTTACAACTTCTACACTTCAGAGGTGATTCTTTCCAGATGATTTTTATCCATGCCGGGATCATGAAGGCACTTAGATTTTATTGTAAAATGGCTTTTTAAATTAATTTAGCTTGTAAACTAAGAACTGTTTAATTTAATTTCAGGTTTCCCTTTCATAAAATTCAACATGCCTCTCCACACAAATTATTGGAAAGTTTTTTTTTTATTTGCATTTTGTTTGAATACATAGACATTTTGACTGGATTTTAAATCACACTCTGCCTTGGATTATTTTATTAAACTTTTGGAGTGCGGCGTGATTTCTGAACGAAGTTGAAAATGTGAAGAAAAAAATGTTTTTTTTTTCTAAGGTAGGAGAGAAAATTAATGTGACTATTTCAACTGTTTCTTATTTCTAATGAAAGCTGATTTTTTTTTTCTTCTCTAATTCTGAAAAAAGAAAAGGGGTATCTTTAGGTTTAAAGAAAATAAAGAAGCCACATTATTATTTAAACAATTAGATTTTGGGGTAATTCAAAGTTTTCTGACTTCAAAGTTTAAAGAGTATTTTCTTTTGTTTGATCTCTTTGATTTTTGTTTTATTTGAAATTCCTGCCAGCTACTTTAAAAAAAAAAAAAAAAGTTTAACTAATTAGTGTTGGCAAAATTACAGTTTCGCCCTTTAAACATCTTAAATCAAATATAACTTTTTTAGTGTTGTAAGTAAAGTAAGAGATTTCTCTTTAGATTCCAACTAATTAAAATGAAAATGGTGTACTGTAAAAGGGAATGGTGAATGAACAAGAAAAGAAAATGAGCTAATAAAGCCGTGAATTGATTTAAATTGGGCCGTGGTTAAATGATTATTCTGAAAGGTTGTAAGAGAAGAGCAGCCTTAGTGAAAATGATAGAAGAGGAACCCTCAAAGCCATTTCTTCTGTCCCAGTTTCTTACAGGATCTTCTTTGATTTTCTTTTTCCCATTCGTACAAACTATCTCTTTTGGATGGATTCATTCATTTTGGTTACTTTGTGTTTCTTGTACTTGGAGAAAGCAGAGGACCTTTGCCCCTTGCCCCACAGCATGCGCATTACACAGTCCCTAACCTTTTACATCCCAACACTGAGGCACACATCGTAATACTCATTGATATCTGAATTGTCCGGCTCAGTTTTTACATGCATTGTTTTTATTGTCTAGTACTTGTACTGTTTTTCACATTTGAACAACTTTAAAAAGAATTAATAAATGGTCACATAAGAGGAAATAATTCTACACAATATTGGTGCAAAAGTACAACATGCAACATAGATGATGCTTTTGTAATGTTACAATGACAAAATCCAAATGTCCTTTAACAAGTACCCTCGACATGTAGTTGTTGTTGTCTGTCCCACCTGGTCTTTTCAAAACAAATGTATAGGTTGACTCGCCCCCTCATGCTCAGACAAACAACAGTAACCAACAGTAACTAAATGTCTGGTCCAGACATCATGTAAACACTGTCTTTACCTTTGAATCCATCATTTTGGAAGGATTAAAAGCAGCATAAGAGGAAAAGTCCTCACTTTGCAAAGTGTCCTGACTCTTAAGTATCAAAAATCTCATTGGTCGCCACAAAGATACACCTTCACACATGCTCATGCTTTTCTTTAATTCCCCATACCCTAACTCCAGATTTTACCTTTAAGTCCTTACTGTGGCCATAATCTTTCATGGCACTTAAGAAAGAGAAATCATGCAAATAGACACAACACACGTTTATATTCACATATTTACAACACCCACTGAAGTTTAAAAAATACTACAGATACCAATAAACACATTCTGAAGGCTTCTAAGGGATTGGAAGATATGAAAGAAGTCATGAATAGGACTGGGATACTCATAGCTAGAAACAAACTTACAAAATGTTCTTTTTTATCACTTTTTACCGGTTCCAGTTCCAGTTGACGCCTGGATAATTCAGCATATCTGTATTTTTGTTGTCTTATTTGCATGAAGTCACCTGTGTACTGTCAAATTGGTAAAGATGTTTTCACTATTTGCTTGTTTTTGTCTATTTGCATCTTGTCATCTTAAGTTGGGAGCATGCTGAGCTGTAGACATGTTCTCACATTGAACAAACATGTCTTCTCTGACTATCTTAAACAGACCATCGTTCTCACCAAAAGTGCAAAACTAAAACACACAACCACTGTCTTGTGGTCACGGACCATTTAGTATCCAAACTTGGAGTCAGGGAAGGAGACTCGAGAGTAAATTTTCTTCAATTTGAAGACACAACCAGAGAAGGTAAGGCAACATTCACAGAGATGCAAGACCTCTGTGTTTGAATTTTTTTTTATATTGCTACATTTGAATTCTCTTTGGGTTTTTTTGTCTGATTACTGCAGAACATGGAGGGATGTTTGAAGAGTCTACTTTTCTTTGGTTTGTACTCCTCTTATCACCAACTTTGCAAAAATTAAGTAATCAGTTTTATCTATTTTTAAAGAATACAATCTTTTTTTATTTAAACGCATTTTTCTTGAAAATGGATTTGACATGTAATTTGCAGGGACCTTTTTAATTATTGTGGCAGTCATCCCCAAGACGGGTAAGAAAATACTTTTTCTGTCTAGTTTTCTGAATATTACCATAATGTTGATAATGATTTGAAATGAAGTCATATAACTCAAAAACCGTTGATGGGTTAAAGGTTAAGTAAATATGGTGACGTTAATTTTAAGGGCTTTACACCACAACAACAGCTATTTCGCTACCAATTCCAACACTACTGTTCATTATGTAAATACAAGAAAAAGTCAGATATTTTAGCCCAGTTTTAGTAGTGACTGGCATTCCACATTTTATATCAGTATCATTAATCTGAATGGATTCAAGAAATGAACACATTTACATAAATGTGAGCCGCATTTTCATGTTGTCAAGATGCGAACACATTTTTATACTGTTGGGTAATGAAACCTCTAAACCAGTGGTGTCCAAACTTTATTTCTTGCGGGCCAAAATTGTCGTGTTAGAATCGCCACTGGTTTTGTTTTTTAAAATATAGTTGAAAAAATAGTAAGGCTTTGTAGATCAGAATCAAAAGGCTCGCTAAAGAAACCCTTTAATAAAAGGAAATCAAATATTTTGATTTCTTCATTTTACTTTATTTGTTTTTTTCTCAGAATCAAGGCTGTGACGAGGTTCATGTTTTTGGAAAAGCTTTCTGCATTAAGCTCAGGTCATTAAATGGTTAAACAACAGTCTGCTTGTTTGCAAAAACTTTGCATACATTTTTTTTTCATCGTTTACAAAATAAAACAACAACAACAACATACATGTTACTGAACATTTTCTATTTTAGGAATATTGTTCAGCCCTCGTTAACATGAAAAAGAAAAATAAGATAACGTGCCAATCTTAATCAAAATCTTCTGATTCTTCATTTGAAGTCACGGGCTGCAAAAAATCCCCTCAAGGGCCGCAAATGGCCCTCGGGCCGCACTTTGGACACCCCTGCTCTAAACAATGATATCTGAAAAAAAAAACATACAGTTATATCGTTTTTTTATTATCCTTTTTTCTCTCTTAACTTTTCAAATCTTGCAAACTTTAATGACCTGAAAGAGGAAATACACGACCACATTTTCAACAGTGTTTCAAGGGCAGCAGAAAGAGTAACCTTTTTATTCCCAATTTAGACTCCAGAGTCTTACATCAGTACATTCTAATCACCAACTTAAAGCTGAACTGGACTGAGGCCCAGAGCTACTGCAGAGCCGAGTACGATGACCTGGCCACCATTTATAACGAGGAGGAAGTCGACGCAATTCACAACATGGCCGTTAACTGGACCACGTCCTTCTGGATCGGCCTGTATGGTGATGTGAACACCTGGAAATGGTCTCTGGTGGGCGAGCAGTTCTACGTAGGACTAGATCCGGATTACAGGCAACGGGGGGAGAACGGGCCAGACAACGCAGAGTCAGACGAGTACTGCGTCTCCATGACTGAAAAGGGCTTCTGGAAGGACAACAGGTGCACGATCGAAATGCCTCTCATTTGTTTCAACGGTGAGCTGTGCCTACAGGATGTGAATTGGAAGCTATCATCAATAATAGAAAGAGAGCACTCAACTGAATGATTAAAAATATTAATTATCTGTGTGCCATATTCACAATATTCACATGTTGGCCATTTTCCCTTTTGATGTTACGCTCAGGGTGGGAAGCATTGGGACTATTATATGTTGAGCTGCTGTGTTTATGGCTGTGTAGATGACTAATTGTTTTAATTGAACCTCTTTTGATTGAGACTGAAGACTTCATTGATAATAATAATTTGAAGGGATATTTGCTTTATTTAAAATTAAAAAAAAGATACCTGGGGCTGTCAAACTGATGTTTTAATTTTGATCACAGAAAAAAACACTTAAGCAGATAGATGGTACTCTGATGTCATCGGCAGTTATACAGCTACAATTCTACAATTCACTTAGCAGACGCTTTTCTCCAAAGCGACGTACATCAGAGAGTAAGAACAACACAAGCAAGGATCTAGAAAAAAGGGAACAATGTGAGTAAGAGCAAACGATCAGCTTTGAGTCTGATTGGACACACAGGTGCTGACAGGAAGTGACCAGAGGCAAAGCACAACATTGACAGCATTCTTGAGAGCTCTAATCAGTATAGAAACCATCTTATAAGTCGTCGTTATCAAACAAAAACCATCGTCAATACCATCATCATCATCAATAATATGGAGACCATCATCATTAAGTTAGTAGGTTAGTAGTACAGCTGTACACAGCGATTTTGTTAATATGATAAAAATCCACGATTGGTTAGAAAAACAGAAGCCGTTT